CGCCTCCACCACATCCCCGGGAGCAGCTTCAGCTGCGGCTCCCCAGGCTGCGGCGGGCTGGTCCAGCAGACGGTACTCCTCACCCACGCGCGCGACCGCGCGCGCGCGCGCGCGCGCGAAAAAAACCGAGTCCGCTCGTTGAGGCTTGGACTTTTTCAACCGGGGGACGGTGGCAAAAGGCGGACATTCACATTGCCAACTGAAGCAGGGACAATGTTGCCCTCCCACCAAAAAACACGGAACGTTGTTTTGTTCGGGGTACAATGTATCCCAAGGCTACCCCAGGTGAGACTGGCTTGGCATTCTCCGGTGGATCCTTGCATTCCTTTCGGTCCTCCTTGCTGAGGCCCAGCTCCAAGTCTCGTCTCACGCACGGCCACCTGGCGGGTCGCTACGCGGCGCCCGTCGCCCGCCAGCCGACACGTGGATCAACCAGTTCTAGGGCTACCTTCTCCAGCTTTCCAGAGGTTCTTCCAGAAAACCTCCACAAACCCGGGAACGAAAACCGCTGTTTTCTTGAAAAAGAACGAGAACTTGAAAGGAATTTTGTGAATCGTTTGCCAGAAGACAAGTGGAGGCCTCGTTTCACAAGAGGCCTCCGGCCCTGAGGCCTTTTCGTGGGAGGGTTGCAACCATGTCCATTCCTTGAGACTCATGAAGCCAACACTCCCAAATACGGACTACTGTAAGTGAGCGATTTAACAGTTCTGCTTCACCCCGATTTAAAAGATCTGCTTCAGCCCTTTGCAGCCTTCTGACTGGAACTCTTGCTCCAGTGAGGTGTTAAAGAGTTCGGCAACATGTCACAATCTCACCTGATGCTTGCAGGTCACAATTGGGTACACTCAACAGATACCACACGGCTTGCTGGATGTGCTTGCACCGCGATATTCTGCCAACCAAAGGCGCCAATAGATTGCTCTGCAAATCCCGTCAGGTTCCGGCCTGTCCAGGATATCCTCCCCGTGCTTCTGGCAAACGTACCTGAGCGCATTCGTGAGAGCTATGGCTTCAGTTGCCCGTTGCCAGTGCCGTAAGCAAAGGAGGATTGGACAACATGCACCTTTTGGGCACCTGGAGCCCCAAACCGCCCTCAACGGCGTGTCTTTTTGCCCCCAAACAAAAACTCGGTGAACTCCCTTTGTTTTGGCCAGGTAGTTTATTGAAGGGAACACGTTGACAAAATTTCCGGAGGTCCAGCTGCAAAAAGTTGAGACCTGCACGACCAGCAGGTAGCGGCTGCATCTCCAGGACACCTTGCATGGGCAACATTTCTTGCTAGGCTTTGGAATGTCCGCCACCTCCCCTTTCTGACTCTGCAGTTGGGCCTGCCAAAGCAGGAGTAGGAATCCCCCCCACCCCGCCCCCTGCTGGCCAATATTGTAGCGCATCCGTCCACCACTTGCAGGCCAACATTGTCCACTGAATGTCTCCCAATGAGCCACACTTTGCCAGACGTCAAAGTAGTGCGAATACTTTTCCCAAGCCACAACCGCCCTTTATACCGGCTTCAGCTCCCCATCCTCCTGCAAACCTGGGCTCCCACGAAACTAAAATCTCACTTGCCCAAAGAACCTCAAAGAAAAGGTTCACCTCTTGGAACTAATAGACCGAATCAGGGAAGCCAAAAGGGGATTTCAGGTCGATTCGCATCCCATGTTGTGGTTGAAATATCAAATAGTTGTACTGGTTTGGCAACCAATGTTCATCCCATGTATCACGGACCTTTTGATCAACCCCTAAATACTCAGTTGCCCAAAAAAACCAGAAATAAAAGCTTAAGCTTTTGGGCATGACCAAAAATTGACCAAATCGGGGAAAACCAACGGTAATTTCAGGTCGATTCGCTGTGGGCAACTGAGAAATAGCTTGCTGGTGCTCAGGGAATGAGAAATGGAATGACCCTTACAAACCATCCAACTGGTGGTGTCCTGTATTCATGCGGGAATCCCCAAGTTCATTCCATTTCTCATTCCCTACCTGCCGCAGACGCAAGATAGGTTCCATTTATCGAGCCTTCCCCATAACAAGGGAACATGGGTTACAATAAATTGAGATCTCCAATATTCACCCCCTCCCCCAACTCCCTTAAAAACTGCAAAATGGGAGATGGGCTTTGTACTCTGTAGTTGCTGCCCTTCCGCTCAGTTTTCTGAGAATATCGCTAAGGTGCAACCCCAAATCCTCCAAGTGCTGTAGTCCAAGAAAACGGGAAAAGAACACATATTCCTAGGGCTTCAAGAACCTGTAAAAATGTCGTACCCTCACTAAAACATCGTGTTTTTCTCGATTTTCTGAAAACATCGTGTCTTCAGGAAAAACATTGTGTTTTTGATAAAACCCCTTAAAAATGGGCTTCTGAGGCCAAACACTCATTTGGAGCAAAGGGTCAAAGGCAAGGGTCGGGAGTGGATTCACACAGACATCACCCATTCAGATTTCAACTGAGGGCAACGCTCTATACTGAGTATGCTTCAAATTCTAAGGACCACCTTGATGAGCCTGACAGCCAGGGTGTGCAGCTGGCTTCAGTCTTGAAGCACCTTTCGCAGCAACAGGCACCTGAAGACTGGCGCCAGGTCATACCGAACCAGTTTGAAGGAATCCGAAAGCTCCTTTTGGTGCAAAACAAGACCAGGTGACACTGTTGAGATTGTTTTTATCAATTTTGAGTTTTTTTAAGAAAATGGGGCGGGATCCTGGCGGCTAACCGCAGAAACCCGTAGAAAACCCGTAGAAACCCATCGAAAACCCGTAGAAACCCGTAGAAAGCCCGAAAACATCGTGTTTTTGGAAAACATCGTGTTTTCTAACCCGTAGCTAAACCGTGGAGAACCCGTAGTAAAGCGTGGCAAAGCGTGGAAATTCTATGGGTTTTTCGGGTTCAACCACGAATGCGCTAATTCGAGAATGTTGCTGGAAAACAACGAAGTCGTGAGCAAAAGCACGGTCTTTGCTTGAGCTTGCGCGCTGTTCGAAGCCAGCACGCTTCTCATCACGGCATTGCTGCTTGACAAGTGTCATAAAACCGTGGTACTTTTGACTATTTGGGTCCCCGGCCTCCTTCTTTCAGATTGGAGTTGCGAAAGACGAGTGGCGAATGCGAAGCTGATTTCGTTACGAGTGCAAAAGGGGAGGGCGATGGGAGATTCTGAGGTTGAGATGATGCTTTTGAGGTCTTTTGAGAACGGATGACGAGTTGAAGGAATGTATGGGAAACTGCCTGAAATCGAAAATGCGGTGTTTCCCGAAAACATCGTGTTTTCCCAAAAAACATCGTGTTTTTTGTAGGTATGACATGTTCATCGGTTTTTGAGGCTCCTGGTTTCCAGAAGTCATAGATCCCCTCAAAAAATCCAACAGGGGAAGAAGCAGATTCCTAAGCTGCCAATCGGTTCCCCAAGCTCCCAATCGCCCGGCCCTCCTCCGGAGGTTTCGAGGACGCCGAGCAGCGCAGCTCGAGGTCCTGGAAGCGCCAGCCGCGGCTTTGGCTGAAGCTGATGCAGAAGAAGAGCCCCTCCAGTGCCAGGACCCGCACCACCTCGGACGAAAAAACCGACGAAGGCTGCCTCCCACAAGTCCTTTGTTTGGTGTTGGTTCCCCCTTTGGTGTTTGGTGTTTTTACGGGACTCCTTGAAAGGAACACCCATGTTGTTGCTAGTGTTTTTGTTCTTTCTCTCTTTCTTTTTTGGGAGGAGGGGGTACCCTAAAACAAGAGACACAGACGAACATAGGCCGTGCCGACGCAGGCTCCTTGGAACGAAGGCTAGAGCCTGCCCGCAGGCTTTCATCGGGACTCACGACGCATCAGCAAAGGGCAACCGGCGGCCTTGTGCTCTGGCTTGGTGAGTGAGAGCTGCAAGAAAACAACAGCATGGGAGTGTAGCAAGTGGAGCTTTCTCGGGAGTTGCAAAGTGTATACATCTCATTGCCATTTGAGCCTGGCGGGTTTTATTCAATTCAGCACTATACTGGCCAATATTGCCCAACTTACTGAAATGCCAGGAGGGAATCCATTCTATAGTCACCACGGATCCAACAAAAGCAAAGCGGGGCCTTTTGTGCTGAAAGTTGGGATGCTGGGTGCTGCTGCCTTCTTCAGCCGGCAACAGCCAACCTCTGAGGTGCGCCTCCTTCAGAAACTTGGTCGACTCCAAGTCCTTCGCCTCCATGCAAAGCAGGCAGTCCACCAAGCCTCGCAACAGCAAAAACACCATTTTGAGCTTTCTTCTTTTTGTTCTGCAAATCCCGAAAAAAGACGCAAATACTTTACCGACTAACCCAGTGGATCCATTTTCCTGTAAAGGTAACTAAGGGAACCACCCTTCAAAACCAAAAGGACAATGGCGGGTTACTTACTATAGAGCTAACACAACTGAACTGGGTAACATAGACAAAGACCATTGTTGGAAGACAAACACTCCATTTGCAAAGTGTTAAGAGCTTAATTACCTTTGGTGGGCAAACAGACTTCTCGGACTTCTCAGTTGCTCACATGTGCCCGGGCAAGCAAGTCCCGCCCCTCGCCGCCGAGATGGCTGGAGCCGACCACAACTAGGTCCTCTAGTAGAGAGCTTAGAATAACGGTGCCAACTTGTTTCTGTCGAGTCTAGTAGGGGAACCCTCCTTCCAAAAAGGGGAGAGAAGGGCACCTAGCTGGGGGACCTAGACAATCAACAAAACGCGAATTTCCCTGAACCAACTGCAACGCGGCATGTCAGGAAACTCTGTCCCAAAAAAAGAGGCGGTCACCAGCAAACAATATATGACATACATCTCCAACACCATTGGTAACGGAAATGGAAATCAACGCGTCTCGCTGTGCAACATGGAAAAAGGATCAACCGCGGATCTGAACAATCTGCTTGTATATAGATTTCGGTGTCTAATCGCAAGCAGGCGAAACCTGAAACCGCCTGCGACTTCCACCGAATGGATGCCCCCCCGCCCCCCGCCTTTTTCGATGACGACGTCGAAGTGGCGATCCCGGAAGCTCATGGCCTAATCATTTAATCCCGCGCCTCTTAGCCCTTCCAACGGTTCTTGCTCACTCACGACAGCTGGGAATGAACCCAGCCCAGCAATTGGTCCCCTTAAAAGGGAAACCCCCAGTTGGATGGTTTATAAGGGTCATTCCAATTCTCATTCCCTGCTGAGCACCAGCAAGAATTGACACAGCAACACCTGATTTGTTTTTGAGATTTGTTAATTGACCGTCCTTCATGAGCTCGTTTTTCCCCCATTCCCGTCAAATAGGCACCATCGTAGCTCACTGAAGTGGCGTCAATATCTCTGAAAGCGATAGTTACGCCGAATGTCCTGCAATCCCATCCTGGAACAGCGGTCAGCACATTTATATCTGTTGCATCCCTCTGCAACGAAGCAAAGTCTCCCAACATAACACTAAGGACTAGTAACTGATGCTACCATCCCAGCGACCAACTGGGTCACGGCAACAATATTCAATCCTTCCAATGGGGATTGACGCCTTCTCCCTGGGTTTGCAACCACGCCGGGTTTTGTTCGCCAAATAAGCAGCGGCGCATGAAAACTTCTTATGGCCATCGCCCTCCGGAAAGCCATTTGCTACTTGTGAGCGCTAAGATGTGCCGAGCAGCAGTCGCATCCATGCAGTGCCACTCCATTTCACAGTGCGCCGCCTGTCACGCAGCTTTGCTGTGCTCAAGTCCGTGCCCGCTGGAAAGTACACTGCGAAGAGAGCGCTCAAGCAACAGCACACATCTCCCAGCCAGAATTTGGAGACACCCAACTGACCACCCAAAATGTTTCCCAACAACAACCATGACTGGTCCAAAGCGTGCTTTTCCCTCAGGCATGCGTCGCTGCCCCTGGACGCCTTCATCTGCTCAATGGCCGTTGCGGAGTTGTCAATGCCTCATGCCGGGTCGTCGCGGTCCAACACCCCAACTGGGTTCGCGTATTTGAGGGCGTGGGGAGAGCGGCTTCCAAGGGAAGCCTGAGATAAAGCAACACCACCCATGTTGGATGTGTCCACTTTGAGATAAACCCATAGTCAATTCAGCGGCTGGGCGGCCCTCAACAGCCAAAAACCAAACCCGGTCTCATCCATGAAACCGGTGGGTGGGAAAGGGCGGGGAGGTAGCTTGTCACAGGTGCGAAAATGAATCAAAGCTGGGCAGCCAAGGGGTCGCACACCTGCCGATTCGCTTTGGAATCGGGCATTCCTCAAGTCACTTGCCCAAAGGACCCAGAAATGCAAGGTGATCACCTTTTGGAGCCATGACTATGGAAACTAACAGGTCAAAAGGTCGATTCGCCTTGGGCAGGTGAAAGCTGAGCTTCGGGCTGGTGATGCATTCGTAGCCCGCCTCGTGCATCCTCAGATGACATCTAGCAACTCACCGGTCCCCACGAATCCAGTTTGCCCAATTCGGAGCTGCGAGAAAATGAAGCGGGAGACACAAGGAGGCCGGAAACCCGAGCTAGCAGTGCCCAAACGCCAGGCTCCCAAAAGCCCAAGAAACGAAGAGCCTAAGAAGGTGCAAGATGGCGCAAAGTTTGCAGAGCGGCCATGACAATGAACAGGGCCGTCCATTTACGTTGCATACTGCCAAGGCAATGGTGCGCGGCCCCCCAACTTCAGCCTAATGTCTCGTCTGTGAGGGCGCTATTGCCACAGCCAGCATGCAATATCCTCCACCGCTTCCTGGTCAAGTCGCGCATGCAATGACAAACACCCCTGCTGTCACTCCCATGTGTGGAAGAACCTGCGCATGGAGCAAGGGCCCCAGTTCTTGGCGTCATGTGACTTGCGGGATAGGTTGCAAGTGGACTTCCAGCGTGTCTGTCACACACGGGGGAAGTCTGGGGTCTTAACAACAACCGTCTCAACAAAAGCAGCCTTAGGCAGAATGGTTGGACAAAGTGTAACCTCGCTCTCAGCCAGAAAGCCAGAAATTGGGTTGGGGGCCTCTGTTCAAAACCTCCCCCCCCCCCGTGAGGCAAACCTTGGGACAATTGCCCCAGGGTCCCACTTGCTGGGTGAATTCCGCCTGAGAAGCACAAGCCAATGTGCAACCGGGCAGGTCCAACAGTTGGATCTCTGCCTTGTTTTCTGGGTTCCCTATTGATTTGTCCTGAAATCCCTGAACAAGCATCACACCTACCACCCTGCCAAAGAACTCACCTAACATGAGGGCCCGAGGTAATGTTTCAAGCCATCCGAGAGGGAAATATGGAAACCGCTGCTTTGTGGACATTCTTTTTCCACACGGTTTGTCTACTCTGGCCATGCGCAGCTCTCCACTCGCACCAGCCAAACGCAGTCTAGCGCGAAGGCAGCTGTGGCTGTTTATTACAAAGTGTTCCTGGTTTTGGTGGGGATTTTTCATTTTTGGAGGGGGACACCCCCATATTACTAAACAGGGGTGTGTTAATCCGGGGTCAACATTAGGCAAAAAGAAGGTCTGCTTTGTGCTTTTCAGCCCAAGCCGTAAGCAAGCTACGCATACCATTCTCCACAGCAAGATGCAAAGGCGTACACCCAGTGTTGTCAAGCCTGGCCATGTCAGCGCCAGCTTCCAGCAAGCATCGCGCAACTTCCTGACGACGCGACTTGGCAGCAACATGAAGAGGTGTGCGCCCTTTGGCATCTGTCTTGTTCGCGTCAGCGCCAGCCTCTAGCAGGCAACGTGCGACTTTGTCATAGCCAGTAGCAGCAGCCAGATGGAGAGGCGTCATACCACGAAATTCCGCTTTGTGTTTGTCAGCACCAGCGTCCAGCAAGCAACGCACAAGTTCCTCGCGACCATGCGAGGCTGCAATATGCAAAGGCGAACATTTGAACTTGTTAACAATCGCTGGATCGAGGGGCATCTCCAACAAACGCACAAGCTCAGAAAGCTTGCCTTGCTCGGCCGCCTCAAAGAACGGCCTCTTCCCGGCATCTGCCTCCAAAAATGGTCGCACGATGACAGAGAAGGGCCCTGCTTCCCAAGCGCTCTCGGGCCCCAACACGTCCTTGCCTGCCAGCACTCTCAGCTGCCGGAAATTGGCAAGCCCCAGCCGATTGGCTAACTCTTGTCTCAATTGGTCATGGAAGCAAAGACCACCTGTCCGATGGTCTGACGTATCTTCCCACCATTGAGCAAACTGCTCCGCGGTCATCACCTCCTCCCCGCCCATGGCCATGATGACCGCCATTGTTCGAGGCAAAAACAATCTTCTACTGCAGAACAACGCCCTGACCCAACTAAACAACACATGCCACATGCCTCAGAATATGTTGCACCCAGATGCACTGTGATGCACATCACATGACCATGCTCCTCTAAAAGCACACCAGCGCTTGCCCAACGGGAAACTCGCCCTCTCGACTCACCGGCTATCGGATGAACGCGAAGCAAACACCCACGCCCAGGATCAACCCTGGGCCAAACTTTGAACATGCCAAAGGCTATTTGGGTTTGTCTCAAAAGGCTGAAGAATCGTTGAAATGGCCAGGTGTTTCCTTTTGGTCCCCCTTTAAAACAAACCAAGAGGGGTCCTCTCAAAAAAACAAACAAACACACAGACACACCCATGTACAATATGATGACAAGGATCTTCGGCAAAAGCTTCTGCTCCAGAGCCCTTGCTACCGTAACATGAGCGGTACCATAGCATGTCCTAAACACCCAACTCGCGCATCCTGAACACACCAACCGACCAACGCACCATCGCACCCAAACACCGACACGCCGCCACACCGCCACACCGACACACCCACACACACACACACACCTGGGCTGCTCTGCTAGAAGCTTAACTTTTAGCTGGTTCAATGGAAACCCCTACTGAACCCTACAAAGCTAAAAAGCTACGGAGATGGCTGGGAGTTATTAAGATATACATTTGAAGAGGCGGTGCTTGCCCGTTTGGTACTGAGACGGTTTCGATTCTCGTCACCACAAGCCTCGCAGAATGCGAGGTCTCCTGTGGGAACGTCAAGCGTTTTAAGGTCTGTTTAAGATATGACAAGGCTCGATGGGAATAGCAAGGATACGGATAGCAAGCTTGGACTTCATGATGGCAACTTTGAGTTTTATGGCGTTGACCATTTTAACCAGGGGCAGTTCCCCAAGGTTCCAGGAGTCCTTCTTTTCAGAGGCCGAACCTGGGTGTTGCTTTGAAAAGCAGGTACCAAACGACACGTACATTGTCGGGGCCGTGTCTCAGCCCAAAACAAAGTTGGCACATGTATGGCCCGGTGTGCTCGATGCTGGCGTCCCACTGAGTTCCGATCTATCTTTGCGGCAGCTTCCAAAAGTCAAACAAAACATCAAAAGCAGCCTGGCTTTGCATGAATAGAGCCTCTGCAAACAACCTCCAATAAGGGAAACCCTGAAGCCGGCGCCCTTGTGTGGACTGGAGGCACCAGACAAGCAAAAGAAGCAAACTGCAAAGTGGCCCCTGGGACAGCCGAAGCAACAGCGAAAAACCAACCCAGCAACCCGTTTGGCATGTAGACTTGAACCCAGGGGTGGTTCATTCCCCCCAAAAGGAGAACCCTGGGGTTTCAGTGTATCGTGTAGTCAAAAAGTGGAACCCGGGTTGCAAACTATGGCTTCTGGTCGTCTGCGTTCCGCCGGCCTCTGGCCACAATATTTCTCAAAGATTGGAGCAATGCAGCGCCAGGTCAGCAACCACTCCTGGGATTGTGGATCAGGGCTGGCTTGGCAACCGCAACTCTTCAGCAGAAAAACATCACACGAAGTACACCTTGCCAAATACATGGCAACTGTCGAGTGTACGCGCAATAGATAACGTGCAGCTCCAGCTGGGCCAGAACTCTTCAATGCCAACTGCGAAGTCCATTTTGCATGAGTGGGTGTATACTCCATTCCCTCTGACATCGGCAACGCTAGGCCTCACTAAGAGCTGGCGGCATTGCCTCGAGCCTCGCATACCTCACCATCTTGCCACTTTCCCGTTTTCCCTTTGAGACTCTCAACAAAAACTCGGTCCCGATCTTGGAGATCGGGTTCTGACCAAGCGGCATCTGGACTGCCTTTGGACAAATACCTGTCATCCCAGTACTGGCACCCATCGCCGTAGCCTCGCCGACAACCGATTCGCAAGCCCGGCCTTGTCCCCTCCGCCCAGCGTCAAGAAGTCGTTGGGGGAATGTCCAACATGCCGGTTGGCAAACCCCAGTGGGATATTTTTGCCCAAGCGGACCAAATGAGTCACTTGCTCAAGACCCGGTATCAACATGGTCGTAATCCCAGAGCCATGTAAAGAATTAAGAAGGCGGATATCCGCAGCTATTTGTGGTTGTGGTTCGGATCATCCCTTACTGACCTTCATCTACCCGGGTTTTGATTGAAATTGAGTTTGGCATGTTGTTGTTTGTGGTATGCTCCTACTAATCAGCCCAGCTCACCCTTCATTCTGCGCCTTTGGTCAGCCGGGCGGCTGAGCTGTGAGTTTCCCGTCATTTACCATGAGGCTCACTTAAAATGTCCCGTAGGCCTCCTGGGCCCGGCAAGGCATTCAAAAGCCTTGCCCTGAGCCAGAGTGCAGCGGTTTGGTGTGCCCAGGGTGCTTGGACTATGTCTGGAAAGGAAAAACTGAAACTTAAAGAAAGTGGATCCAAGGCCGGGGTTGACGCAACGCAGCCAGTTGAGCATGAGGCAGTAGCTCGCTCGCCGCCGTCGCTTTTTCGGAGAAAGACGTGAGCGAAGTCGTGCCAAAAAGCGACATTAACACGGGGCTGCAGATTGCCAACAAACACAAAAATACTTCGCTTCGAGCAATCCCCACCCCCCGCACTCACGAGCTTACGACCGTTACAACAAATTCCTCCACATCCTAGAGACTTCGACTCCAAATTCCCATCGGCCTTTTGGACATTAAGCAAAACCAGATTGGCGAGGCGAATACTGGCGAGCCGCTCTGGCTTGATACTGGCAGGATCCACCGGCAAAGGATACTGGGATACTCAGCGGGATGCTCGGCGGGATCCACTGGCGGGCTACTCTGGCGGGATACTTGGAGGGATCCACTGGCGAGCCGCTCTGGCGGGATACTCGGCGGGATCCACCGGCGAGCAGCTCTGGCGGGATACTCGGCGGGATCCACTGGCCAGCTGCTCTGGCGGGATACTCGGCGGGATCCACTGGCCGGTTGCTCTGGCGGGATACTCGGCACTGGCGAGCCGCTCTGGCGGGATACTGGGCGGGATCCATTGGCCAGCTGCTCTGGCGGGATACTCGGCGGGATCCACTGGCCAGCTGCTCTGGCAGGATACTCGGCGGGATCCACTGGCGAGCTGCTCTGGCGGGATACTGGGCGGGGGCGTGGTGTAGAAGCATCGCAAACGCGGATTCCAACATACAATCTAACAACCCCTTCTGTCGGGTGGGGAACAAACGCCAAGCGCGCATCATCGTTCAGCCCCGACTCGATTCGACGACCAGGCGTACTGAAAATTGGAGCTGCTTTGATCCACAAAGGACAGTAGCATATTCCAGCTCGTGCGCCATTTGAGGCAGCTACCTTTGCCAACGAAAAAAACGGCCGGCCTTGCGCCATACTTTGGGCGCACCTTTTGGGCTTCTAGGGTTGGGCCTCAAAAGGAACATGAAACACTCAACGTTTGAGGGATGCTGACACCACACAAACCCGGAGAAAGGCTCCTTTCCGGACCGAAAGCTGGATCCACCGCTTGCCAGAGCCGATGCTGCCTAAGCCACGCACGCCTTCCTCTTCGTAGGTCTCAACCCCTGCCGCGCCCTCCAAGTACACAACCACGAGCAAAGCCTCTTTGAGGCCTTGCTAACGGGAAAAAGGACAACACATGTATACTAGGTCCTCCAGTAGAGAGGTTAGAATCAGGGTACCATTTTTTATGTAGTCTCCCAAAAAAAGGGGAGAGAAGGGCACTCCTGAAGGACTTAGTATAAGCGCCCTCAGTGTTTGCTGGGCTTGCTGGCGGCGATGTAGGTGAGCACCCCCCAGGTCACCACCAGCAGAGACCTGGAAGGAAGGGGCTTGACGTGTCATTATGGGCTGCTGGGCGTGGAAGGCAGGGGGCTCGTTTTGGAGGGGGCGGACTGCTCATTGCACGGACTGGCCAGTAGTGAGGGAAAACAGTGAAAATCCCCTGCTCCAATAGTCTGCCGGGTACCCGTTGTGGCGCTTGAAGGATGAACAAGGGTCCATTCACAGCGAAAAGTTGGACTTCGAGGGATCCTTGGTTCCACGCTTCGTTTTGGGGTGGCGTGCCTAGTAGTGGCCTTCGCATTCTTCCCTAAACAAGCCCAAACAAGGAAACCAAATTGCTTGTAGGCCACTGCCCCTCGTCTCCGCTCCTCAGCGCCTTCGTCGCTTTAAGTTGCCATGAGGGGAATGCCAACGACAGCAGGTGCGGGCATTTAGTGGGTGAATCCACCTGATTCGCGACTTGAGGAAACCCAAAGGAAGCATCTCCACAGTCAGGAACCCACCCACACATCAAAACAAGAAAGACGCCAATC